AGTAGAACTCCCTCCTCTCCTGTCCCAGGGGAACCCGTTCTATGGCACTTATTTCTGTCAGATGACAAATTGTCTCCATGAGCCCCCTCTTGATGGCAAACCTGGGGGTGGGACAATGAATGAAATGACAGGGGGAAGGGAAATTAACTATAGGGTGAGGGCAAGCGTCACTGTTTGTAGTACCCACACATCTGATGAGGTCGTTTCCCAAAGGTCTGCAAATAGTTGAAGCCGATCCCCTATAGGAGTGTGTGACTGCTGGTCATTTGTTGCGGTGGAACGGCTTGTTAGCCTATCCACCTCGAAATGGGTGTCTAGAGAAGGACTGGTGACAGGTCCTGTCCCTAAAAGGCTGCCTGTCCTGGTTATGTTCGGATCCCTGAGCATAAGGGCGTTGAAAGGAGGAGGAATTGAAAAAGGAATTGAGTTGCGAATCAGTGGCTCGAAAGGACTGCTTCCGAAAGGAAGAGTTTCTGCCGTCCGGTTTATGCGAAACCGGAGGCATAACTTTCTGTTTGCCCTTATTCTCAATAAGGACAGAGTCTAAGGCATCACCAAACAACTTGCTACTCTTGAAGGGAGCAGACACAAGCTTCCATTTAGATGTTATGTCCGCATTCCAATGGTGGAGCCATAAGAGCCGATGGGAGGTGATGTTAGCGGCCATGGCTCTGGAAACAAACTTTAAGAGATGTGCCTGTGGTGTATTCGGCTGCCACCATTATTTTGTTAACATCTTGGCGGAGCCCGTTATCCCCTTGGGGAATACGGGTGAGCAGGTGGCGTAACTAGGCAATGGAAGCCCTGCTAAAGAAGGAGGCTGAGGTGGAGGTCCTAATGGCCCACATCACAGCCTGATGGGTCTTACGGCAGGCCCTTTCCATTCTCTAATCTTCCACCTTGAGCCCTTCCAAGAGATCTGGGGGAAGAATAGAATTAAAAGTTAGGGCCGCCATCGGAGCATCAACCTCCAGCAATTATAGAAGATCTTCCATGCCAGACTCTATGGCATAAAGCCGCTTGTCATTACCCCTGGGGTCGCCCAGGTCTCTGGCTGAACACACTCCATAGGGCAGCCCACCTCACACACAGGTAACTCCGGGCGGCTTACGGGAAGAGGACAGCCGACCACTCACCCACGCGGGGTGGGGGGGCAGGATTTCGCCAAGAAAAGTTAACTTTCCTGCGAAAGGGGCCGGCAGCCTCTCAGCTCTTCCCGGCCGGGGAGACCTCCCCCCACTTCCACTCCTGCGACCCTCCTCCCGTCTCCTCAGAGCTTCAAGCAAGCTAACTGGGAAGGCCGGGGAAGAAGAAGAAACGGCGACACGAGGTCAGCGGTCCTTGGGGGCCCCTTTCCCAGCTCGGCTGCCGTTGTTGCTGCTCATGGCAGAAGGGGAAGAGGAGGAGGAGGAGGAAGATAAAGTGGTGGGGTGGTTCCTGCAGCCGCCAAGGCGGGAAAGGTGCACTTTGACAGAGCTTCCACAGCCCTGCTAAAGCGCCCCTTTCCCAGCTCGGCTGCCGTTGCTGCTGCTCATGGCAGAAGGGGAAGAGGAGGAGGGGGAAGATAAAGCGGTGGGGTGGTTCCTGCAGCCGCCAAGGCGGGAAAGGTGCGCTTTGACAGGGCTTCCTCTCCGGAGAGGCGTTTTTAAAAAAGAAAAACCCTGCAGGCACCCAGCGACAGGGGCTAGGAGCTAGGAACCCGGAAGTTAATTACTTCCGGGTTCACTGACGAACCGGATCGCAAGAACCGGTGCGAACCGGGAGGAACCCACCCCTGCCAGTAACATAATCAAGTGTACCATTAGTCAAGAATCTGCTAATATAAAGTGCACTCCCACAAATCCATGATTCCTCCACAAGACATTTTTGTTGATCTAACATTGGTACTGACTTAGCTTGTATATTTTTACAGCATTGGTATTCTCTGCAGTCAATTAGCTTAACTTCCAGCATTAGAGTATAGTTTTGCAATATTAATGCTGGAACTGAAATATGGGCTGCTTCTCATCAGCAAGAACTCTTAATTTCCTTCCACCTCCCTGCTGTTAAGACAGCCACTTTGATATTTTACCATGCTTTTTAAAAATTAAGTGTTTCTCAACAAAGCATGTCTACAACTCACCATGGACAACTCACCATGGAACAAGAGTTACGCTAACATCGAAGAAATAGTTGAATAGAATAGTTAAAGCAAGGATCCCAAAGGAGGGAAAAAATAAAATGTGAATGACAAAAATTAAAATTATTTTAAAATTATTTTAAATAATTAAATTAAATTGTTGAATCGTCCCTTGGCGAGATGGTGTGGTAAATTGGCCATGGAGAGTTGGCTAAGGTGAGTTGTCCCATTCTGCAACAAATCATTGATAAACATGAAACTAGGACAACGCTACATGCCAAATTTGGCACTCTTCTGTTGGTCAATTGGAAGGCTTGGTGATTGATTGAATGATTGCTACAAAAAATAGTAATGAATACTTCAGAGAGTTTGTGGATTTCAGGGAGTTAGAATGCCTCTTTGGAAGTGTCCCCTATTCTATAAAGCTTAGAAACATAATTTGTGGTACAGGGTGGCAAATCACTATGTAAATTTAGGATTCATTTCTGGGAAAATGTGTAAATATGCCTTACTGAACTCCTAGAGAAAAGGTGGAATGTAAGCCTACCAAAAAAATCAGAGAAATAAATAACAAAATATATGCTGACAAAAACTGAAGTTAGGTATAGCTTTTATTTCAATCATCTGATTTTCAGCATTATACTCAAGCTTCCCGACTCTCAAAGTATGTGTGAGTTGGACTATTAAAGAAATGACTCAAAATGTATTTAAAATCACAGAGGTCAAGTCAGGGCTATATATGGGAGATGACCAGAAACCAAGAGCTCTATAGCAGCAATGCGATGATCAAAAATAGGTCAGGTCCAGCTTTCCACCTATCCCAAAAAGTAAATAAACAAAACGTAAATACAGAAGTATCAGCTGTATGGAAATGCATCACCAGCATTCAGTAATGTTCCTTAACTTCCTAACAGAAGCACTGTTCTTCATCCTGGGAGTACAGTAATTTCCCTAAGAGTGAGTTCTGAAATTTTCTACCATGTAGGGTATAGATGTTTTGTAGCAGCTGTACAAGAGGAAACAGAGAGCAAGTGAGATAATTATTTCATAAAATCAAGTACTCTTAAAAACAGTAGAATGGCTCTAAAAATGTTCTTTGTTTAGGTTTGACAAAGCTGAGAGAAGGTATTCTCCTGCCCCCAAGTGGCTGCACTGTATAATCCACTTTTGCCAAAAACTCATGTATTTCGGGCTTAATTCTGATGGGACTTGGATAGACAGATAATACTAATTCCAGTGATCAGATGAAACGTAACTATATAAATTAAATATTGCTAAGAAAAAAACCAACCAATTATTCATACAACTATCCAAGATTTCAAAAATGGAAAATAGAGATATCTGTATGAATCTACTCTGTTCTAACAGTCCAAAGTATTCAAGATTCTAATATTCTAAAACATTAGAATAATTGGAGTTAGAATTTCATTCCTATGACTCAAATAGATATTTGCTTCAAGAGAGGAATCTAACCAACCTTAGTGCCAGACATTATCTAAATAATCATCTTATAATTAAATAAAATAATGTTAAGAGTCAGTGGTAGAAAGCAAATCACATATATGTGGCACATAATAAATTTGCAATATATTTCAGCAGTATTAAGCCTATACAGTATATCCTATTACTCGCCTGCTTCCATTTTTCCAAATATATCCCATCTCTTATTTGATTTTTATCTTTTAGCTTTTATCCAATTCATTGGGCAGTCAATCAATCTGAGAAACAGGTAAAAGTCCTTTTTCTCCTCCTCCCTCCCTCCTCCCCACCTTCAATTCAATTCCGAGGAGAATACTGCAGTGCTGGAGTGACAGGAAACACCAAGAATTCAAAGGCTGTAAAAAGATGACACTTTTTTCAAAGGAGGAAGGAAAGCAAAGAATACCATTTATGAAATGATGGGATCAAGTAATTTTAGATATCGGACAAGAGTGCTCTTTATGTCTTTCTAGCCATAACTTTGACAGGTGAATAAGCACAATTTTGTGGCAGACAAGAAGAATCAAAAGTCAAAAACTAAAACATGAACATTATATGGCCCAGATTATAAAATGCTTTTAAAAGAAAGCCTTGTATTGTGACAAGGATTGGCAGCCTTTTTTGATCAGCCTCTTATTGACACCCCACCGTTGGCCCCCATCGTCTCTTGGTGAGCTTCTAGGGGGTATTTGCTCCTCTCCTTCTCTGTGAGGCTTTTTGGTCACAAGTCCTGACCCACTACGCGAAGGTCGGGATGCAGGCGCAGAGACGCTCCTCCGAACAATCAACGGCCTGCCTTTAACATGGATCTTAACTTTTTTCACGGCGTTGTTGCCATCTATTTTGAGAGCTTAACGAGAGGTCTGAGCTACCAACCCCGCGTGTAAGAACGAGTGTCATGCCCACGTGGGGTAGGTTCTGGCAAGGCCTCGAAGAGGCGGCAGCTATCGGAGGACGTGGACCCCGGCCAAGAAACGGTAGACAGGGGCAAATAAGGAAACAAGCGTTTCCCTTCCGCAGCTCATTTTCTCGGCAGGCTTAGGTTTTTCGCGGGGGGGGGGGGGGGGGGGGGGGGGGGGGGAGGAGCCGCTAAGCACGAGAAACAGCTTTGTCCATCTACTTAAGTTTTCCCAAGCAGAGATCCCCAAAGGAAGGAGAGACCAGCCTAGGGCGGAGCGTGGCGCGGCACTGCCTTCCGGTGCTCCGGATAAACCCGCCGATGTCAAGCGCTCCGCGGTTTGTCACTTAGCGGCCACCGTCTCCTCCATTCTAGGCAGCCCCCCCCTCCCCCCGTCTTAACCTTTCAGCCGGGCGGAGACTAGGGAACGTTCCTTTTCGGTCGCAACGTCAGGTAGCCGAGCAGCGTGGCTCTCGATCTGTAACAAAACCCTCCCCCCCTTTGTCGCCTGGGCAACGAGCAGCGAACCTCGCCGGGCAGAGTTTGATGGGGCCGATGATGCCTTGGGGAGACTCATTTTGCAGTGGCGAGGTGATAGACAGATAGGTAGACAGACAGACATAGGCAGGCAGATACAGTAGCAGTCAAAATTGTGGATATCAACAGAAAGATAATTTAATCAAGAATGCAATGCAACAAAGATTGTTTAATTATCTGTATTCTATGAAAAGATTACAGTCAAATATAGCCAGCAATAAAACCTAGTTAATAGAAGCAGTCATTCAATCTTGGTTTCATATTATAACAACTGCAGAACTAAAAGACTTGGTTCACTCCATGGGAAGACGCTGTAAGGCCTCAATTCATGCTAAAGGTTACCCAACTAACCGTTAATACAACTGATGTGATAATTTTTGTATATCATTTTTTCTACGTGTTTCACTTTTCTTCTTTATAACTTCTATTCTAATAGCAAATCCTCCATAAAAATTATTGCACTACATTCTTGATTAAATTATCTTTCCATTGATATATAATTTTACGGTATTACTCCAAAAACAAGTGTTGTTATTAGCCATCAAACCTCAAAAATACTGTACACTTTTCCCAAAATATTTCGACAATTCTCCTGTGTGCTGCTTGGGGAATCCAAGCATGGGTTAACTTTGTCCATTAGCCTAGAGACTGAGTTATGTAAATTGGTGACCATGCCTCCTCTGACTGGATGGTTCAGTTTTTTAAATCAGTCCAGCCAGAAGAGACGTATACCAATTTTCCCCAGACTAATGCGACAAAATTTTCTGCTTCATCTTGGATTCTACAAGTGGATGGTTGTATTTTCGGAACGTTATTACAGGACAAAGGGAGAGGCAGCAGTTCGCTGCCTGCCTAGTCCTTCTGTGTCTTGCGACTTCGTGGCAAGTATTTACAGGCTTTTGGAGCCATTGGATTTGAGGCTTAGCAGCAGGCTCTTGGAGCCGTTGGATTTGAGGCTTAGCGGCAGGCTTTGGAGCCGTTGGATTTCAGGCTTGATGACTGTGGCTATCGCGCGAGGCTTATTGCTGCTAATTCTGCTGCTCGCGCCTGGCGGTTTCCCGCCGTGCTGGAAACTTGGGAGTCACCCGCTGTTTGCAGCGCTGTTTGTCCGATTTCATCTGGGAACCACCCGCCGTTCGCGGCGCAGTTTGCCCAGTTCGATTGCCGCCGTTCGTTCCGGGAGTGCGCCGCCGCTGCCGCCATTGCAATCCACGTGGGAGCCTCAGAGCGCCTTGTTGGCTAAGGCACCTTTGAATTTGGCGCCCGAGTTGCGGTCGCCATTTTGGGGCTGTTTTTCGCACATGCGCTTTAGGCAGCCGAGGACGGGGCGTTGCGAGCCTTCGCGCCCAAAGGGCTGCTGACTCATTGGTCCTCCCACTTCCCTCACTTCGGCTCTAGTGAGAGGATCGTGATAACGTGGCTCCTGCTCTCCACGCGGCCTGCTCTCATTACATTATAAAACCTGTGCTTCTGTTCCCTTTGAGTCTTTTCGCTTCTAACATTACAATGGCTGACCAACCCACCTCAGGAGGTATAGTAGAGCCCTCTACCGATAGCCAGCGTTCTGCCCAGGCGGGGGTTAGCTCGTGGCCCAGTAGGGGCGCTTGTAGAGCCACCAGTCAGAGGCCCAGGGATACATCCGGGGCTCCGGATAGGGCCCATAAGAAAAAGGACAAAACCAAGGCAGTGACTAAGGCCTCTGGGGAGGGTAGAAATCCCCCCCCCCACGCTATTGCCTCAGCGTGTTTCACCAGCTCCAGCTTAGCAGCCAGCAGGGAACCAGGCGTGGTCTCCTGATCGTCCTTTGCCTATTATCTCTGATGCTGGGGTGGGGGGGCTTGGGGATCCAACTCCCTCCAGTAATTACTGAGACCCATGCGGTTTTGGCCTACTCACTGGGCCTACCCCACGTGGGCATGACACTCATTCTTACACGCGGGGTTGGTAGCTCAGACCTCTCGTTAAGCAGTTGCAGGATGGACTGGCCCCTGATGAGGTGCGTCTTCACCAAGATGTTACCAAGATTATGGATGCCCTGGAATTCTCGGCGGATGCCACTCTCAATGCTGCCAAGTTCGCCTCACGGGCCGTGGTATCCAATGTGGCATCATGATGCCTGTTGTGGCTCCGCCATTGGCAGGCTGATGTTAAGTCTAAATGGTGCCTGGCATCCACGCCCTTCAAGGGCGGGGCATTATTTGGTTCTGTACTTGACCCCATACTCATAGAGACCAGGGACAAGCACAAGGTTCTTCCCTCCACCAGAGGGCGCACTAATAGGAGGCATCAGCCCTATAACAGACGCCAGCCTTTTCGGGGCGGTTACTCTGGATTCACCGTGGCTCCCTATGTTCCCCACTACAACAGGGCCTTTAACCAGCCACAGGACCACGGTCAGGACTGTGCGGGAGCCAGGGATAGGGGTCGCCAGCAACATCAGGCGCAATCCCACAACAGGAGGCCATTTTGTGGGGCTGGCAACTGGTCATTTCGGAGGTACCGGTGACTTCCACGGGGAACAACCAGTGGGAGGGCGTCTCCTGGTCTTCGCTCATCAGTGGGCGGAGACCATGTCCAATGCCTGGGCCCTCCAGGTAGTGAGGCTGGGCCTCACTCTAGAGTTTCTCTCCATCCCCCCGAGGCAGTTCATCAAGTGCCCCGTACCCAGGTGTACAGTGAAGCGGCGTCTCATGGATGCTGAAATACATCATCTCATATCCATCAACGCCGTAGAACAGGTTCCAAAAGGTCAGGAAGGACTAGGATTTTACTCAATCTTATTCCTAGTACCCAAGAACTCAGGGGGATGGCGGGCCATTCTAGATTTGAAAAGACTCAATTGGTACATCAAGTATCAGAAGTTCAAGATGCAATCCTTGAAAAGCATCTTGGCATCCATATGTCAGGGCGACATGATGACATCAGTCGACTTCAAGGTCGACACATCGATCCGGCACATCGGAGGTTTCTACGCTTTCACTTCGTGGATCGTCATTTCCAATACCGAGCTTTGCCCTTTGGCCTATCATCAGCCCCTCGGACCTTTACCAAGCTCCTAGTGGTTGTGGCGGCTTCGCTTCGCTCGGTCCTGGTGAGAGTGAATTGTTACCTAGACGACATCTTGGTCCTGTCGCCGTCTCGGGAACAGGCCCTATGGGATCTACAGGTAACAATGGACTCCCTGCGGAGCCACGGCTTCGTCCTAAACCTCCCCAAGAGTCATCTGCAGCCGACCACGGCATTGCTCCACCTAGGGACCATCATCAATTCCGTCACGTGCGAGGTTTCCCTGTCCCTGGAGAGGCGACAGAGCATCCAACGACTGGCGGCCCAGGTGTCATCT